ATTCTTCGTGCACAATTTTGCCGAAAGTTTCACGCGATAAATTATCAAGATTAAATCTCTATCAGAAATTACATTTAATTAAAATTAAAATTTAACTTTTATCCTTATACACACAATTGTACATTGCTAAAATTTTATATCATAAATTACTAAAATTAGATCTTCGCTATCAGTACGATTAAATTTATAAAGCTGAAACTTGGTCAAAATTAATTAAATTCGACCAGACTATGTCCTCAATTACACTGTTCTGCCACATTAAATTAAAAGAGAGTAGTATCTGCAACCTTCGTTTAAATCAAATCATTAACGCCAGGTAGCACGAAAATAATTTATCTATACGTATATTATAAAAAAGATCTTAATTGTAATAAAACTGAAGGTACAACAGTCTATGTTATGCATGTAGAATCCTGATTCTGAAAATGACTAAAAAAAATTTTATCAAACTACCTTCTCATCAGATACATTTATTTGAACTTATACGGCTCAACAAACATGAGCAATTATTTACAAATTTCACATGAACGCAGACAGTATGAGTCGTGGCTCATTCGTTCGCCACGGAATAATTTGTAGAAGAGAGACAAAATATTTCTCTTATACGCGAGGATATGATTCAAAGAGGATTCACTTTCATCGTTGGATGGTGAAAACACGATAGCAATTCGATTTCAGAAATTGAATTGTAACTGTCCAAAGGGAGATAATTTATTAATGGACGTTTATATACGACCATAATGAATGCCTGGGGTCTTTTGATCTCTGAACCCTCCTCCTCCTGGATCGTCGTTTCCATTTTGAGGATACATAACGAAATTAGCCTCCGTACAATATCGATGTCCATGTGATTCGATATTTCATTTCATCCTTAAAAAAAATTTTCACATTTTCTATCAAATGGCAAGTAATTGAAAATGTTCTCCTTGATTTCTTAAAATTCTTAACAATAATAAATACACTATCGTTTAAAGATATGTACTTTCAGTAGGGTGTATTTTAATTACAAAATTACGAACAAGTCAGATTGTAAATATTTCATTGAATAAATTCAATATAACTTTGTAATTTTTTTTCCAGTTCCATTCTCGCGAATCTTACATCAAGCATACCCTCTTATAGATCTTTTATAATTCTAAAAGATGTATTAAAATATTAAGAATAAAATTTTGAAAGAAAGATACTTCAATGTATAAAATATATTCTTCTTGTAAAAAATTCATAGAAACATGTATTAATGAATTGACAAAAAGAATTAAAACAATCTATGCTGCTAAATAATACCACGATCTAAAATACAAAAGTTCCTTTCAAAAATTTTTCTCGTTCTTCGAAAGTATTCTCTTCGAAATGCATAATTCTTTAAAAAAAAGCTTTCAAAACCATAAACTGATAAACCAGTAATAAATATGATAAAATGAATTTTAAAGCACTCTCTTGACAATAATAAAACAGAAAAAACGAAATTGAAATATTAAATGAGTGATATAAAATAACACAATACAGAAAAGGAATATCACGATTTATAAAGCGTGAGAACGCCAAGCACCAAAAACAAAATTCCGAAATCCAAGGAAAAATTCCGAAATTCTCCCCGGCTAAGATTCCACGTTCAAGATTCCATGCATAACCATCTCATTCATCGAACGACGAGAATACTTTGGTCTGGTCGAGAGAATTAACATGGAGCCAGTGAGGCAAATACTCATCCTTAATCGCAGGAACGACGTCACGAGGCTCGACCATGGGCCGACCTTTGCTCGTAACTCGGTTTTACGAATGTGGGTTGCCGAAGAGGGATCGTAGGCGGTACAGTGGCCGATGAAACCGGGGGAAAAACGGCGTGGAAAGCGTGGATCAATACCTCGATTCCGCACGATAACAGCGCCGTTTCCGGTTGCTGAAGACACCTGCTCACCCGAGCCCAACACTCGCGAAATCCGCTCGAGAATCTTTGTCGTTCCTTCTTGCGATTATTCCACTATTTTTGGTAAGTTTTGCTCCGCCTTATTTCTTTCGAAGAATCTCCCCGTTTGTGCATTTTGAGACAGTTTAGGATAAGTCGAATAAGAGAAAGCTAATTTGAAAAAAAAAAAAAAAA